AGGTCGATCTGTACTAGCAGCTGTTGACGCTGGAGCAGCAGGTGTGGTGGATTCAGTGCTGGCTGCTGGCGCTTCTGTTGTAGGAGTCTCAGTTGGAGGAGGTTGAGCAGGTTGGCTAGGTTTAGGCTAAACATCAAAAGATAGTAAAAACCGCTAAATTTCTGAAATTGTAATAATAATAATAATAATAATATAAGCAATTGAAAATAATGGAGACCTGAAACAAAATATGGCTACTAACTTAGCGACCTACCCGAGTCATCATGACAACAACAAATTTGTTCGGATCAATCTTGATTTCTTCAACTGTTTGAGTGTCCGAAAGAACCTAAAACATGCTCGTTTTCAAGTAGCACAAATAGGGAAAAAAAATTTTTTTTCCCCCTAAAGGCACAGAAATCTACTAAGCAATGTTTACTTGCATTCCTAAAAGAAATCCAAAATGGCTTCGTGAAAACTACAAAGCAGAGTTAGCACCTAAATAATCCCTCTTGAAAGAAAGTAAAAAAGATGAAAGTAATAGACAAAGACGAATAAATACTTTACTAAATCTTTCATATCTTATAAAAAACGATGTCAAAGGCTTGTGAAACGCGCAAATGAATGCAGTTGTAGCCCCTTATTCGCGTGACAGCTATTACAAAAATACACTAAAAAGTTTTTCTTGATGGTACTGGAAAAAATAAACTTCTGAATAACAGGTAGACAAAAGCGTTTTACCAAACACAAGCCAGCTTTTAACTCTTACCTTTCCATTGTAAATCAACTTCTGCCCTTCAACGGCAAATGCAGCTTCACCTTTTTCACTTGCAATTTTTTTTTTCATATCCAATACCTAAAATTTTTCATTACTACGCAGAAGATGCCAACACAACAATTTTATTTTCTTCTTTTTTTTTTCTTTTATTTTATTTTTAATTTTATTCAAAAATCGTTGCTACAATGTTGATAGATTACAAAAAACATCCTAGGAAAAAATAGAGTAACTGAACAAACGCAGTATAAAATGACACGAATTATTAAGGAACAAACGAATATAAACAAAAGTAAACTGATTAAAATAAACAAACAAACAAACAAAAAAAAAAAAAAAAAAAAAA